TGTCGAAAGTTTTTTCTGTTAAACTCTTTTTCTGGAATATTCTTCACTATCTTGACAACCTCCTACTGAGCTAGCAATTCTTCGTTTCTTGATCAGACAAATTGCTCTTAGTATAATCATTTAGCTAAAAGTCACATGGCGCTACATCTGGTGAATATGGTATATGTAGCATTATTTCAATACCTTTTTCTGTTACTTATGTATATTATTATAGACGAGATATTCTACTATGTATTCAAACAATAAAACTTTCAATATTAACTTAAAATATCGGGATCAGAAATAAATATAAAATTATGTCATTTTTTTTATAAATCATTAAATTAATTAGATAAAAAATTAGGTTTTTCTTTTTTATCGAAACAAAATAGGCATTAATAACATAATAATGAAAAAAAAAAAGAAATATAACAGCCTTGACTGGCCGATAATAAATTGTCAAGAGGATTAGCACAATTGATAAATGTTACATCATATATACACCGATCATAATTCTTATATACAAAAAAAGCCCATTATTATATCTCTCTCTCGGTATATATATATCAGAATCTGATCGATGTCAATAAATAATACAATAAATTATTTATTGTTCGTCTTTTTTTCTTTCTTCTTTCTATGTACATTGCTAGTTAGTTAGTCACTGTCTTATTTTCCTGTTGATAAAACAAGAATATTTATTTTTCTTTTACTCATTTGACCACCTATTGTTAAAAAACACATGTTTAAACATATTACAGAATATTCTTGTTCCAATTTGTCCATTTTGCTGGTAATATGCGTATATGTATATATAGTTCCTATATATAATTGAGAAAGATCGAGTGATTTGTTCGTATCTAATATCTTAATATCTTTTGTTCTTTTTTTCTTTTTTTGTCTATTCTTGATCGTCAATATAGTCGATCAGAGATGGCAAGTAAATAGGTCCTGTTGTTCTTATAGTATTGCCGATAAGAAGAATCAATCACTCTCTTTTTCTTCCGATTTTCGGTTCCGAGCCGAATACTATTGTTGATATTGGAGTATATTTATTATTATTATTACTTTGATCGTCTTCATCGATTATAAGTTGTTACTGACATTTTTTTCTTTTTGTTATATATTGTGGTATTACAATAATTCTTATTTCAAACATAAAATTTTTCTTTGGCTTATATAAAAAAAAATATATTTTCGAAATTAATTATTATTCGAAAAATGTTCTTTTTTCGTTTTGGTAGAAAACAACGAAGAGATGAATTCCTTGAAGCACAACGAAGACGTAGTGCTGCTCAATATTCAACAGCAGATAATATACATTTGGAACGAATGGAACGTTGTAAAAATTGTTGTAAATCATTTACAACATTTATATTTTCACGTGTTGGCCTTTGTTTACTTGTTGTGGCATATGCATTTGGTGGTGGTGTTGTATTTCAATTTCTTGAAGGTTCTGAAGAAGATAATATAAATAAAGTTCAACAACATTTAAATGCAACAGTTGAAAAATTATTTGAACATAGTATGAATTTAACAGTTTTTCATAAAACAAATTGGACAACTGTAGCAAGAGGAATACTTGAAGAATATCAAAAAGATATTGTTCGTCAAACAAAACGTGGTTATCAAGGTGAACGTCATACTGATGATGCTAAACAATGGAATTTTCCAGAAGCTATTCTTTATGCAATTACAGTTATAACAACGATTGGTAAAGATTTTTATTTTTTTTATTACCTTCTTTCTTTCTTTTTTGATTGATTCATAATGATAATTTATATCGTTTATTTTAGGTTATGGACATATTACTTGGTATGTATTCATAAAGATTAGAAATAGGTTAATCGACTTTTAAGGTATAATTGTCCTTGGATTAAATAAATTTCCAGATTCTCTTCATTACTTCATAGATAATAACAATAACAACTGTCGTCCATTTATTGATAACAAGATTATGTTTGCAATTGACATTAAGCGAAGTTATATAAACATAAAAAAAAAGGTTTTTTTTATACACAGCTGTCAGAAATGAACTTATCGAGGATATTATATTCTATTAAAAACTTTTTCTAGCAATGAAAGATAGAGAACATTAATTTCTAGAAATATTCTAAATTTTTCCTTAAATAATTTCGAACTGTTGTTATTCTTTTCTTGTCTTAAAAGTACATTTTATTTTTTTTTATGATTTGTAAGATATTCAAATATCATGATGATAGCAATTTTTGAATTTTAAAGGACTTCATCGACGGATTTCTGTTTTTGATATGGAAAATGTTATTTCATATTTTAAATGTGTTGTATAAACTAATGATGACTCTGTGATATACGATCAATATATGATGAATATTTTTTCTTTAAAATAATATAATTTTATAGATGTGTTAAACGCAGTTATTTCAAAATACAAAGAAAACGATTATCCCATTGACTTTCTATTAATATCTATTATATTTATTGATATAATTAATTTTTAGTATGATTTTCTTTTAGTAAAACAAATTATGGAAAAATAATGACAATGATCTATGCAATATTTGGTATTCCATTAATGTTATTATGTTTAGCAAATATTGGTTCAACAATGGCAGACGCATTTCGTTTTATTTATTGTAATATATGTTGTTCATATTGTCACATGGTAAAAAAACGTCGTAATCTTCGAGCTTTACAATCTGTTGAATTATCACATACAACACCATCATCACTTCCACAATCTTCAACAACAACAACATTAACATCAAATAATCTTCCAGCACCTACAGATACACCTGAACAAGAACAACAACAACCACCACTACCATCAACAAATGTTGTTGAATTTGTTGATAATCTTAGTGTTGATTATCGTAAAGTTACAATACCGATTAGTGTCACACTCTCATTACTTACGTCCTATTTGATACTCGGTGCATTACTTTTTAGCGAATGGGAAAACTGGAAATTTTTAGATGGTGCTTATTTTTGTTTTGTTACACTTGCAACAATTGGTTTAGGTAAAAAAAAAGAAAAAAAAGTTATATATAATTAAAACAATAAATTAAAATATATTTTTCTTTTCTTTTATTATTTTATTTATAGGTGACCTTGTACCAGGTAAATCAATAACATCAACACAAGTTGAAGGTAAACTTATTATTTGTGCTCTTTATGTTCTACTTGGTTTATCATTAATGGCAATGTGTTTTAATTTAATGCAAGAAGAAGTACGAGCAAAATTTCGACGTTTAGGAAATAAACTTGGAATTATTGATGATCCAAATTTTTGGTAGTTGCAATTTTATTTAATTATTTTATTTGTATTAGATATTTTAAAAAAAAACAAAAACAAATAAATTTTATTTGTTGTTGTGTATTGCTTTATTTGTTGTTATTTTATAGATCAATATTCTTGATTTCATCTTCTTTCTTATTGTTGTTGTTTTTGTTGTTATTATTATTATTATTATTGGAGTTTTTTTCTTTTTTCTTTTTTTTTTCTTTCTCTTTGATAAATGTCTGAAGAACAAAATGATCAATATTTCATCCATTCTGATGTATTTTTATCAACAGAAGATAAAACAAATGATGGAAAATCTTTTAAAAATTCTATTCAATTTTTTATCTTATTAAATGAGAAACATGAAGATATTACTATTGATGATGATGGTGATCCAGATTTATATCGTCCAGAACGTATTGATTTGACTTTAGGTATATCTTTAGTTTACTTGAGATTTTCAAACATTAATTTTTTTGTGTCATAAATGATAATATGATGATGATGACGACCACAGATTTTGTTTAAATATGTGGTATCATATAATAGATATGATTATATACGAATGCTTCAAGTTGTTATCTTAGATAATGTTGACAAGCGATGAAAGTGAAAAAGATCTCATGATAATCATCTGAGATGTATCTATTCTTTGAAATTCGTTTATCTTTGGTCAATATTACATATAGGACTTATTTCTGAAGAGAAATGAATTCATAGACAAAAAGAAATGTTTATTCTTTCTTTGAATATTCATTTGATTTCTACTTACATTATCAATTTATTCAAAGTCGAAAGCAATTTTTTTTTTGTTTATGAAAAAAATAAAAGCAACCAAGTCGACCAATACATATAAATAAAATAATTTTCTCCATTGAAATTAACAAATTTTTTGTAAAATCAAATTATTAAATATATTCTTTTCTTAAATAGTTCATCGTAATGAAACAAATGTATCTGAATGTGGATATCAATTATGGAATGGTGCTTTACTTCTTTGTGATTATATTTTAACAAATCAATTTCGATTTTTAAATAAAACAATATTAGAATTAGGTGCTGGTATTGGTCTTTGTAGTCTAATTGCTAGTCGATATGTATTGAAAATTATTTGTACTGGTATATCAAAAACTTTTTTTTTCTTTTTTATTCATTAATCAATAAAAAAAAAATGATTTTATTTTTCATAGATTATGATAATGATTTATTAGAAGTTATTAAACAAAATATTGAAATAAATGATGCTATATGTAAAAAAGAATGTATTGAAATACAAAAATTTGATTGGAAACAATTTAATTCGAATGAAATTGATAATCATATTGAAATTATTCTTGTAGCTGATGGTAAAGAGTAAAATAAAAATCGTTGTTTTTCTATTTTTATAATTTATAGTTATTTATGATGATGATTTAACTGATGCATTATTTAATGTATTTACAAAATTATTTCAAGATAAATTAAATCTTCATTCAATTTATATAACAATTGAAAAACGAATTAATTTTTACCTTGATACATTATCTATTCAATGTCCAGCATATGAATATTTTCTTGAAAAATTAAATCAATTTAAAATTGATTTTCCATTATTAATTATAGAAGAAATTAATACAGATTTAAAATCTATAAAACAATGTACAACAATTTATAAACGAACAAAAGAATTAGTAAAAACAAAAAAAAAAATTCTTTCTTTTTTTGTTTTTTTTTTTTTATTTAAATTCTTTTATTTATTTTAGGTTCTTTGGCATATTTATCATTCAGAAAGATATTCATCATAGACTGTATGTATTTTATCAAGAATATTTGAATTATTTGTATTTAAAATTTGTCGTGATGAAGTTTTTAATCGACTTGGTTTTGTTAATCTAAGACGTTGTAATAAAGGATCATCATCATCATCATCCTCAGATTCTTCATAAGTTAAAAATTTTTCTAATGAAATTATTGGTGATATAGACGAATGATCACCATGATCATATGTACAAAAATATGATTCAATTTGTACTTGTTTATTTGATTGAATAGATATATTCATTTGATTTTCTAATAATAATAAATGATTAATATGATTAATTAAATTTTCAAGTTCATCTCGTTTTTGTATTGTTATTGAATGTAACATTTTAGAACGACGTTTATAATGATTATATTCATTTCTAAGACGATTATATCGTTGTAGAGTTGTCATTAGAAATATAAGACTAGTTGAGAATGAGATTAAGTAATATTTATATTCATAGAGAAATTGATTAATCATGTGAAACAAATATGACAAATATCCATTTGTATTTTATTTTAAGAAAAAAAAAGACAAAAATTTGCGCTATTTTTGTTTTGTTTTCATTTTGGCGCATTTTTAGATGAAATTTTCTTATTATTGGATATGGCATTTATTATTATTATTGATAAATGTTGTTTCGTCAAGAGATTGGCTTATTGATAAAATAACTGATGTAACAACATTAAGAATAACACCATTAGGTACATTATTACTTTCAAATACATTAATTAGTCGAGAATTTTTACTTGATCCTGATTTTGCTACTATTGATTTTCGTGATTTACATACAACTAATTCAAGTTTATTACGATGTGTTAAACCTGAAGCAATTATAACACTTGATGGTATTAAATATAATATTGGTGGTATTATGCCTAATACACAATGTGCTTATTTTAATCGTACTGAGTTTTGGAGAACTAAAACATTAGATACAACAGCATTTCATTTTTCAACATATGAAGTTGGAATACCGAAAGCTCCTTTTAAATATACACCAAAACGATCTGCTCCAGCTGATATACAATGGCCACCAAAAGGTATTCATTTAAGTATCTATTTCAAGGCGCCATACTATGCACCATTAGCACATAAATATGTCACTGTTGTTGTTAATTACGAAATGTATGATGGTATACCATTAATAGCAAAATGGCTCGATATAATCGATATAAGTGGTCGAGGTGACATTGATCTTTCTATTAATTCAGTTGAACTTCTTGCTGTTAATCAACCATGGTATGACTAACATATATTAAGTTAATATAAAACAAAATCAGGTCTATTGGATTTCTTTTATGAAACATGATCTAAAAGCAATGTTGAAGTATAAGGATAAAAATTTTGACTTCTCTTCCGCGTAGAGCCCGTCAGGTCCAAAAATTTTGAACCCGGCCGGACCCGATCCTGAATTGTACTCTTGATACTTAATGAAATTTTTTTTTAATTTGCACCTGATAACTCCCAGGAACACGCCCTTAACAGTTCTGAAGCAATCTCGATCATGATCTTATAAGAATCAACTTATAATTGACTCCTTCTTTCAGAGTAGCACCTATGAAGTCAGATCCGGACCCGATAGGGTCCGTGTTCGGGACCAACCCGATAGGCTCTACTCGCGCCCAATAGACCGTATATCAATAAAATCTCGTTATAATAATTTCTGTAAGATTAAGTAAAAACGATAGTGAAGAAATGTGTCTCAAAATTAGATAGAATAAAACAATCTTCCTTTGATTAGCAATAGAAGTTATATTGTGTTTCACATTTTCTTTTATCCTACAGGAATTTTGCACTAATAGTTTTCTCCTTTCATAGGTCTCCTTTTGGCCATTCATGGTTATATATTGAAGATGATCAACCTCCTGGTCATGGTACTAATGTATTATGGACATATGATGTAGAAGTTAATACAATACCAGGTTCATTTCCACCTTTAGTTAATTGTACATATCAAACTGATCATGAAATAGTTGTTCCACTTGTAACACAATTAACATCATTTCGTGTTCATGAACTTGTTGTTGGTTCATCAGATGAAGAACGTCGTGCTTTATCAAAACATCGTCTTATACGTTTATTAGCACCACATACACAAGAAAATCCAATATTTTTTCATATGATTAATGCAAGTTCATCAGCAGTTCGTGCAGTAATTGATCAAATGGCTGAAGTTGGTTTTGAAATGCTTATTTATTCATTTGGTTCTGGTTTTGATATGGAATCTGATGATGAAAAATATATAGAACAAATAACAAGTGATATTGCTTATGCACATAGTAAAGGTATTGAAGTTGGTGGTTATGATTTAATTGCATTAACACGTCAAGTTCGACCAGATTGGATGGCAATTGATCCAAGTACAGGTAAACCACGTGATAGTGTATGTTTTGCATCTGGTTGGTATGATTATTTATTAAATCGTACATTAACATTTATGGATCGTACTGGTTTAATTATGGTTGAAACTGATGGTCCATATGGTGGTTATTCATGTGCATCAACAACTCATGCTCATCATCGTAATAATGATGATAGTGTATATCGACAAAATATACTACAAGCAAATTATTTTAAAATACTTCGTGAACGTACGGTTTATATAAATCAACCAGATTATTATTTTTATCAAGGTGGTTCAAAAACAGGTATGGGTTATAATGAAGAACAATATTCATTACCACGTTGGATGGATATTAGTGTTTCGAGGTGAGATGATGAAAAATTTTTGAATGAATTTTTGATTTTTAGTTTTTGTGTAGACAAGGAATGTTTGATGATACGTATCAACGAATTCCAACAGTCGGTTGGATGTTTGTACCATTAACTGTTTATCATGGTGGTGGTGCTGCAGCACAATTTGAACCACTTGTTGCACATCAAATTGAATATGAATGGGCTTTGGCTCAATATTTAGGTTTGATTTTTTTAAAATTTTGTCAAACACGATTTAAGCGAAATGCTGAAGTATAAGGATAAAAATTTAGACCTCCTCTCACAGTTGTGTGACGGACATCATGAAGAGACCAAGATCGACCGTGATGGATATAAACGCGAGATTAAAGTCTACTGCAGGATTAATATGATAGTTGTACTTTATTTTTCTTTCACTGCAATATATTGCGATTAATATCTTTCATCATCGACATGCATTAACAATAAGTAGAAATTCATAAATCGAAATATATATTGATTAATCTTCTCATTTACAAAATCAATAACTCCATCATGTTTCAAATTTTAATTGCACAAGAATTGTGCTAATAATTTTTTTTTTTCTAAATGATAATAATAGGTGCGGGTGTTGCTGCTTGTTATCGAGGTTTTCGTCTATATGATACGAATGAAACAAAAGCATTAGTTACAAAATGGGTTAATTTTTATAAAAAATATCGTTCAATTTTAATTCGTGATATTATTCATGTAAGATATCAAAATTTTTCTTTTTTTTTGTTTGAATTCTTTGCATATTAAACAATAAAATAGATTCGTCGAGCTGATATGCAATCGATTGATAGTTATATGCATATTAATCCATATTCAAATGATATTAAAGGTATATTATTTTATTTTTTTGATTATGATTGTTAATTTTGAAAATATTTTGATTAGGTCTTATAATGGTATTTAATCCAACATCGGAGCCAGTTGATACAAATTTACCAGTTCCTTTGTATTATACAGGTTTAAGTGATATAGCACAAGTATCAGAACAAGAAGATAGTTGGGTATTTTATACATTAGCTCGAGATTATCATATTGATTTACCTATTGTACTACCACCATTGGGAATAACATGGTTCCTAATTAGATGAACACAAAAAAAAGGAATTTATTAATAAGTAATCGTAATTCAATTTATTTTTTATATGTAATTATTCACATCGCTGTGATGTTTATATTGTGATTGAAATAATAAAAACAAAGTTTTTTTTTTGTCTTATTTAAAAATCTTTATTCGTTGCTTTCTTTGCTTATCAGAATAAAATTCTTAGGAAGTTTATTTTAAAAAATAGTTAAAATTTATGATTGTTCAATTATTTAGATTTAATTTTTTAAAACAATAATGTTAGTATTATCATCTCATTCATATATATTTAACCTAATTTTTTGCAATCAAAAAAAGGAGTCAGCCGGTTATTTTCTTATAAAAAAATCTTGAGCGTCTATGATTAGTGATATTTATGTTTTCTTGACGAACTGATTTTCTCAAAATTTTAAATCTTCAACATAATAGAATTGAAACAATACATATTTAAAAAGACAAATCATTTTTAATCTTTTGTTGTTTCTTAGTCAACAGTAATTAATGAAGATTGATCATTAGTATCAAGTGCATGGATTTCAAACGATCAGAAAATTTTTCAGATAGGCAAATTCATTATTAGAAAGACGAATCTAAACTGATTACATAGATATCTATTTTTCATTGAAGAAAATGTTTATTTTTAAATGAATAAAATCTTTTGGAATTTCAAAATGCAATTGAAATTTTGTTCGATTTTAACATAGAATTATTTTATATGAAGAAAAAATATCATAATGTAGTTTGTAAGAAAACAAAAAGAAATATGTTTTTCAAATAAAGCTTTCTCTTCATTGTCACCATGCAGTCTTTCAGTTAGACTGTTAGAAACGAGAGAGAAAAACATAATTTTATTAATTTTAGTGAAAAACATAGTGATGAAGATAACTTTGCAAGTAGCTACTACTATAGAGATATGAAGGAAAAGAAACGTTGAAGAAAAAAAACAAGGAATAATTAATGAGTATGTATTTAACAATATTATATAAAACGACGGCAGAATTCGTTTAACTTAACACGAAGAAGAAAGCCGAAGATTTTTTTAAAAACAAATCTGCTATGACTTATTGATGGAGAAGGTATTGTCTATAGATTAAAACGCTTCGTTATTCTGTTGCTATAAAAACTGATATTTTGGTTTATCATATAGATCACCAAAAGTTTTATTATTTCTTATATGCCGATTGACAGTTTTAATTTATCAATTTCTTGGCCTATTGAACATACAAATCTAAATGAATAAAGAACTAGAAGAAAAAAAAAATTTTCCAGACAAACTTTTCAAACCTATCTGTTAATATTACGTGGTATCAGCAACAATTTGAATCTAAATATTGATTCGTTCGATTTTGAAACTTTCAAAAAATTTGATTTTATACACGAATTTTTTCTTCAATCATATTATGAAATTATTTTTCAAGGAGAAATCTACAATATGCTTTAAATTGAATTTTTCTTACGAGGAAGTCTCCCAAGTGATTAATCAGTTTTAACTCGGGACTATGTGCATCATGTAGATTCTAATAAGTTATGGATATCATGAAAAAAGTTCGCGCCAATGACTTATTGCTACTGGGATACTGCATTTTTTACGGTATTCTTTTAAATCAATATTGTGATCCCATCAGAAGTATGAGAAAAACTGATTCTTGAATTGCGATTTGAAACTTTGCACAGAAACGGACCTTAATCAGAATGGTTTATTGTATAAGTTTTAAACCTCTTGATTTGCTTCTATTCTGAAATAAGAAGATCAAATCTGTTGGCGTATATGAACAATATAAAAGACACACTTTTATCATCGTTATATTTTATAACAGAAACAACGAAAAGATCTTAAACTTTCACTATAAATTATTTTCATTAAGATTTGTCTCTAGATAAAGTTTCAAATCAAATTCGAAAATTAGTTTTTCTCATGTTTCTGAGACAGACTATGGCATTGACTTAAAAAATACCGTAAAAATGAAGTATCTCGGGAGCAATAAGTCAATGAACCAAATTCTTTTCACAGTATTCATAATTCATTAGAATATACATGATACACATAGTACTGACTCAAAAACGATTAATCAGTTAGGAGATTTACTTCGTTAGATATAAAGATTGCTATTCTTTGTTGTAATACGAATAAGACAGAAATATTCAACCAGTAAAAAATGTTAAGAACCAATATGGTGTTCAAACCAAAATTATGATCGAAAGGCTCTATTGTTTCTCATCCAACATAAGCATACCATAAGAAATTACGATGAGAGGCACTATGAGTTTCAATGAAAAGATTAAAGCAAACTTAAATTGGTATATTGTTAAGAATTGCACGAAAAATTGAAATTTTTTCAAGAAATCGAAGATCAACCTCTAAGCATTTTTCGTGATACTATACACGATAACGCTCAACATCGATTCAATGATCGCACTAATAAATGTTGTCTGTAGTAGCTAATGTGTATCTGTATTTGATTATCATTCGTCTGTTATTTCAGTTGTCTATAACCAACCATTGATTAGAATAGCTGTTGTAAAATCAAATATGATGAATGTCAATCAAATGTCTCTTGAATAAACCTCAGCTCTGAAACGTACATCTATTGTAAACACAATCAAAGTAACAACAAGACATCAAACAACATTTTTGAATAAAAACATCTTGACGAAGCTGAAACTAACTTATTGACTAATACAACAGTTTCAGCAATTGAACCATTCGTATCGATAAGTCATATTTCACATAGCTCACTTTGATATATTTTAATCGCAATTGATCATTTTCAGATGGCAAATGATCAGTCATGCGATATTAATATTAACCAAACTGTAGTCAAACACTTACTAGCAATTAAGAGAAAAAGAAACGAAGGGGGAAAAGGCAACGCAACATGTGTACCCATAACTCAAGATCTTCATTAGTCAACACAAGACGCAAATAGTATGTACAGTCGTGGACAAAAGTAGCTGCTCCTTCATGAAATGCTACTATTATTGATGATATTTGGGTACATGCGTGCGACAATAAACTCTGATCGCAAGCATCAGCTCATTCTCCGTCCGTTCACATGTACTGGAGTTATGATCAGATTCACTATTTAAGAGCCTGCTAATTGGTAAGATCTTGACTATGTGTCACAGGTTTTGATAATAATAGAGTAGACATAACAAACTATCTCTAGCGCTAGAATAACACAGCAGTAGCTTGTGGAATAGTAAAATAATAAACAAAAACTTTCTTGAGTGTATATTTCCCCTGAATGTGTTTTCCGTAAGAGGAAGAGGATGCGTAAATCAAGCCCAGCTCAATATCATAAAGAACGATAGCATTTCATGGGAGAACAGCTACTTTTGTCCCAGACTGTAAATCATATGTTTGGCATTTAATAATCAAACTTATTTTTGGATAATTTTTATAAAGATTCATTTGTTTTCGAACGACAATCATAGATAATATTTCTATACAACTCAATTATTTCATTCAAAATCCATTGCACATAATCATAATGAAGAAATTCTTAGTTGAATATAATAGAGAACTTTTTCGATTTTATATTAGTAAAAATATCAAATTGTTTGTAGTGTTCTGTTTTATTTATCTTATAGTATGCACATTAATACATAAACATTCAATGATAAAGAAGAAAAAAAAATACACATCAAAAAATACAAATAAGACATAGAATGATTCTATGTTAATCATCATGGCTAATTTCAATATCAAAAGATGAAAAATAAATAAATATATAGAAGCTCATGATTTCATATTAACATTTGTTCAGTTGAAGTAAAAAGATAATCAATAAAATAATAATATTTGTCCCAAGATTCAAGCATTCATACAATAGCAAATCTGTTATTCATAACTATTTATTTATATATATATATATATATGTATGTATGTATAACACGATGCACATAATTTATTACTTAAGCTAAATAAATCTTATTAATAAGTTTTATTGATGATCGACAGATAGGACCTAATACAAAATATATTTCAATAAATAAAATAAAAAAATTCTTCTAGAAAATTTATTTGATACTTACATTGTTTTGTTCCATGTTCAATTAATTCTTTGGCACATAGATAACATAAACAAATATGTCCACAAGGAATAAGTACTGTATCTCGTACATGATCAAAACATATAGTACAATCTTGACTTAATTTAGCATCACATTCATTTTTAATATTATTATTATTTATTGAAGTTAATTCTTGATTTGATTTCGTTGTATCATTTTTATTATTTATTTCTTGTAACGAACGATATCTATCAAGATTTTTTATATAACCTATAGAACGTATAGCTACAATATCACCTTTAAATATAAGAAATGGATAATAAATAAGATTTGAATCAACATGAATAAAATCTTTTAATTTAGAATTATTATGTGAATATTCAATAATACCATCTTGATTAAATGTAAATAAAAATTCATCATTACGATCAATTGTTGTTTTATTACCTAATTTAAAATCTTGTAAAATCCAAAATTCTGAACGATCATTAATGTTTTCAATATCAAGTGGTAAATCATTTGTACGTAATAAATTTTGTGTATTACAATTTGTTAAACCGAATTGTATATGTGATGGTAATAAATTTGAAGTTGTTGTTGTTGTTGTTGTTGTTCGTAAACGAGATTCATTTGATGGTATTATACTTAATATTTGAATTAATAAACCTGAATTAATTATTAATGGTTCAGAAAAAAATACGACACCATCACAAGCTTTTGTATTATCATATATAACTATTGATTGATTAGGTAATACATTTGATGATGATAAAAAAAATGATATGGATGAACTATGTACAGATAAAAATGTCAATGGACTAAGATCATTACAAATATCTTTAAAAAATGATGTTGTAGTTGTTATATTTATATTACGAAGTTGATCATTAATTGATCCAGAACGTTTTTGATAATCATCAACAAGTTCAATACTTATACAATTACCATAGATATCTAATAAAGCCCACAGTGGTTCTTGAACAAAAATTCCTA